TTGACGGTGCTGCAATGGCACTACCCAGTGCTATGATAAGACTATCTGGTCCTGAGATTTCACTAAAGTATGATTTTTAAATGTGCCCCAAAAGATGGGACACTTTCTTTAAAGTATGCCAATACTTATAAGTTAGCTTATTCCATGACATCTGATGTTTGCCTCCATATCTGCAAATGTGTAGCATTTCTTCTAAAAGCTCATTCTCTCTCCGGATAAAATGAAGCTTCGAAGTAAAAATCCGCAATTACAACGTCTATGCCAGTTTCACCCTACTTTATGAACACCGCACAAACACGTTCTTTAAACACTGGCGGTATGTGAGACATGTTACATTGGCGGCTCGCTGGTGACTACCAGGCGTCGGTCCTCTCTGGCTCCCCTCGCCCGTCAGCGGCGGGCTGTGCTTGCGCTCTGCTGGCCCAGTGAGCTGGTGATTACCAGGCGTCGGTCCTCTCGGGCTCCCCTCGCCCGTCAGCGGCAGACTGTGCTCGCGCTCTGCTGGCCCAGTGAGCTGGTGATTACCAGGCGTCAGTCCTCTCGGGCTCCCCTCGCCCGTCAGCGACGGCCTGTGCTCGCGCTCTGCTGGCCCAGTGAGCTGGTGATTACCAGGCGTCGGTCCTCTCGGGCTCCCCTCGCCCGTCAGCGACGGCCTGTGCTCGCGCTCTGCTGGCCCAGTGAGCTGGTGACTACCAGGCGTCGGTCCTCTCGGGCTCCCCCCCCCCCCCCCCGCCCGTCAGCGGCAGGCTGTGCTCGCGCTTTGCTGGCCCAGTGAGCTGGTGACTACCAGGCGTCGGTCCTCTCGGGCTCCCCTCGCCCGTCAGTGACGGCCTGTGCTCGCGCTCTGCTGGCCCAGTGAGCTGGTGATTACCAGGCGTCGGTCCTCTCGGGCTCCCCTCGCCCGTCAGCGGCAGGCTGTGCTCGCGCTCTGCTGGCCCAGTGAGTTGGTGATTACCAGACGTCGGTCCTCTCGGGCTCCCCTCGCCCGTCAGCGGCAGGCTGTGCTCGCGCTCTGCTGGCCCAGTGAGTTGGTGATTACCAGACGTCGGTCCTCTCGGGCTCCCCTCGCCATTCAGCGGCAGGCTGTGCTCGCGCTCTGCTGGCCCAGTGAGCTGGACCCGGTCTGCACGAGCCGGTCAGGCGCTGCAAGCCCACCGGCCCGCCGTCGGCACGCTGTGGTGATGACGTCACACGGCCCCCGGCACAGGCTCCCTCGGCGTGTCCGTGCCGCCCGCCGCAGCCACTAAGTCCAGGGGCTCGTGCCGGCGGCAGTTTCGGTCTAGATGCGTGTTCGGGATACCATAGCTGCCTGTGACGTTCCTCTGATACATTTGACTCGGACCTCCTCCCCGGATGTCGGCTTCCCTCCGCTGGATTTCGACCGCACTGTCCTTCATTCATGTCCATTTCTACATCAGGTATTCTGCTGGCAAGGCTGGCAACCCCAAGGCTGACCTTTGGCTGTTGAAGGAAAATCTTCACAAGTTCGTCTTAGAAGTTTTTGCGTTCCTCCAGCTTGCTGGTCATTGATCACGGCGGCAGCTTAGTTTCTTGCCTGAGGCACTCGGCGACCAGCAACCGTTCAGGCCAACTGTAGCTGCTTACGAGTACGTGACAGATTTTCATTTGTGGGCGTTGATGAGAAGAAACCTGCCATTAAACTCTCTTTCTCCAACACAACATAGTCCACATGCATGTGTGGGATGTCACGGTTACGTCATGCACATTCTTCCGCTAATACACTGCCACGAGATGACGTGTCTCCCTTCCTTTGGCATGCGAGGGGGAGAACTGTGTGGTGAGACTGAGGGCACGCTCAAATCTTCTGTGCGGATGTGATGCTATCGTGTTGACGCAGCGCGTATGTTACATATCCCTGTATCTCCGTTTTCTAGCCAGCCGAACACGAAAGGTTTCACAGGCATATACCGTTCAGAAATATTGTAGACTCCAGTATAGGCTGTTATCGACTCAGACTTTAAAAAATGCTGATATTGCGGATAAAAAATAAGATATTTAATCAAACACGAGGTATGATGAAATACGCTCACTTATTACTATGAGCATGTTTTTAAGTGGAAAAGTCTGCTCCCGACAACAAAATTTAGTAGATATGCTCCACAATACTTCATTGATTGGTTGCGTCATGGAACGTTTGTTTGACGTCCAGATGTTGCCAAACTAACCGTGTGAAATTGTCACCCCAGCAGTCCTTTTAGTACTTCAGTCTCGCGGCAGGCAGCCATGACGCCGTGGCCGTGCCAGCGGCGTTTGCTGAACCAAATATCGTTATGTGCTCGTGTTCTCGCCTTTTCTCGTGTTGCTCTTGCATACTTATTCATGATGTTAGGCATTCAGTTATATTCACATGCTCGGTTGTGGCGTTGTTCCTAAGTTTTTTCATTGAAGGTCCTATTTCCGTAACAAGCAGTAACCATTTCCAACGCCCTGTATTGTGTACCACAAAACGCGACTTGATTTTGAATTTTGCAGTCTGCACAACATTGATTGCGGGCGCATTGACGTCTGTTGTCTGTGGAAATCGTGTTCAGGAACGGCAGATATGAATGCCCCGATGGTTATGGTTTCCTCGGTCTTGAACGCCGTATCCTCATCGTTTGAGTGACGTTTTGGAGGTGGTATGGTTTGAATGACGTTTCTATGACGTCAAGCAGACTGAATAGCCTTAAAATAGTCTGCACGAAACAGTGTGCGCATCTTCGCGGGCGTGTACTCCAGAAATGAATGTTATAAGTCTTAGGAAGGGTATGACTGTGAACCGCACCGAATGATCTTCAAGATGACTAGTGCACTTCAAAACCTTATACAAATGTGGAACGCTTTCTTCAACCAAAGACACAAATCTACTTCCTGTCAACGACGCAATTTAGTTTGGCACATGCGTTTTGGCACCGTTGTGATCATAGCAGTCGACATTGATAACGTCCATTCCACGTACGTGTCCGAATGACGTTTTTGTCAAGCCTGGAATGAACAAATGTGCGTGCTGTGCCGAGCTTTGTGCATTTCCGCCCCCAATTACGTCACTGATATTTGGATGACTTAAGGCTCTGCCAGTGTTTGTGCGTCGAACCACACGTCTGATTTATGTTGCAGATCTGCCTTCTGGCTGTAGTAAACACAGATTTGGTGTAAGCGCATCGACCCGCGAGGGAAACGACACGTAGCTATCGACATACACATAGGAAACACATCGGCGTAGCACGGCGGTAACTTAGCTCGCTGAAAGAGACACAACTGAAATGAGCAAGTCCAAAAACAGTTTTTATCCCAGAATGTTTTTTTCAGCCTGCAGCAGATTTGGAAAAACCTCGTTGGATCGCCATTCATGAATCGTGAAGTTATCGGGTCACCGAATTCAACTCACTGGTAATGGACTCGTAATGTGACTAATGAATTTACGTACACATTTATTGACCATTCGGGATTTACTTGGGTTCGAAGCTGCATTTCGGGATAAAACGTCTTGCTAATTTCAGTACCAATAGCCCTAGGAACTTTACCCGGTAGTTCCAATTAACCTTTGGGCTACCTATCCCTTCGGCTGGCGCCACCACTCATTTCACTTACTCGCTAGCTGAAGACCAATGGCGCGTTCTCGTTTCTTTCATTCGATTCCAGTCGCATCGCACGGGTTTTTTAAATACGCATATCGCGTTTCTTTTGCGGCGCAGTTGGTCTATGGATAAACGAGGAGGGGCAAAATAATGACATGAGAAGCTTAACAGATATATTTCTAGTTAGAAGAAAATCCCACGATTGAACTTCTACCACTCCACACAAAGTAACCGGAGCATGACCAGCACCAGTACTGAATGGGCTCGCCCAATGACTCTCTCTTCTGCGATTGAGATACGGCCATCATCGTTCTGGCGGTTTCAAATGATCACAGACACAGCTACCTCCACCTCACCAGACTACAGCACTAACCTAGAAGACACTCACTCCAGCAGCTGCCAATCGAGCCGCTTCCGCTCGGGAAGTTGGCGTGCCAGCGGCGTGCCATTCCAGTGGTCCACGCTGCAGTCTTCCACGAGCGGTATCCACATCAGCGCTCTGTTGTCCTCCGCTGCACTCTTCCACGAGCGGTATCCACGGCAGCGCTCTGTTGTCCTCCGCGGGGTGCCGCAAAGCCGTGCAAACGCCCTGCTTGTGGGCTCGACCGCCCCGACTAGTTATTGTATGGGAACACGTGCGACGGCAGCGGCCATACCAGCTCTGAAAACGACGACCGTCAGCAGCTAATACTTTTACTTTTACGGACAAGCCCTGCACGAGCAGCCGCACGCTCGTGCAGGGCTTGTCCGTAAAAGAACGCCATAAATAATAGTCTGGGCCAGCCTGGGTTGTATCCATTCACTGTTTTCGTCAGCTATGGCACTCGACGCACTCTGACATTTCAGAGTGTGCGGTATGAAGCTCGAGCACGAAGGCATCGCGAGCCGGTATCGCGGTCTGACATGTCACTCGCATTGCTGTTGGCAACGCCCAAAACAGTAGGCACAGGGTGAAAACCACACACACAATACGAAATGGTGATGGCTTGTCCGCAATGACGCTGTGCCTGCACCCGCTCCCTGAGCCCACTGACCGCTATCCTCGACAAAGGAGAGCTCCGAGTAGTAGAGGCTGAGAAAGTCCTCCACGCTGAGGTAGGTCTCATGCTGCAGGAGGAGGGTGAGCAGGTCCTCACTGGGCAGCAGCTCGGGCACCCGCTCCGACAGCAGGTCCATGGCGTTCTTCAGGTTCGCCTGCAGCGCGGATCTCATATAATGACAAACACTGGACGTTCATCGACCCCTCCTCAACGTAAAATAACCCCCAGTTGGCCGCGCACTGAACGTGCATCCCTACGCCGACACCCACACGCCGCGCGCATGCGCACGTGTTGTGTGGGCGTGCGCATGCACGCACGTCAGCAGTCAATCTGGGAACATTGGCCCGGGTCTATACACCCGGCCTCGAAGGTCACGGTCATGTTACAGCGGCTGCTCCGAGCCATGGCGCTATAGAGCACAGTGCGGGCGGGCGGGCGCTCGCACACGGACAAAAATCGCCGTGTCCGCATTTGGCAAGAAGGCACACACACCCTCACGCGCCGCGCGCGCGCGCGCGCGCCCGCACACACACACACACACACACACACACACACACACACACACACACACACACACCACACACACACAACACACACACACACCACACACAACACACACACACACACACACACACACACATAAACGCACGCACACGCACACACACTCACGCACGCACACACACGCATACGCACGCACACACACGTACACACACACGCACACGCACACGCATACGCACACGCGCGCGCGCGCGCGCATACGCACGCACACACACACACACACACACACACACCACACACACACACACGCACACACTCACACACGCACACACGCACACACGCACACACGCACACACGCACACGCACACGCACACGCACACGCACACGCACACGCACACGCACACGCACACGCACACACACACACACACACACACACACACACACACACCACACACACACACACACACACACACACACACACACACATCGGGTATCCGTCAAGGAAGCTCGCAGTGGGCCGAGCTGAATCCCTCCCAATCCCACTCCCCGCAGCCGAGCGTCAGGACTGAGCACCGCACGCTTCAGGAGTCGGCATGGTCCCGCTTTCCAGTATTTCCAGGTTACAGACAGTACATAGTAAGTTAGACGCACAACTGGGATGCAACCCGAATGCCGGCGATGCGTGATAGCCTGGCTCCGTAATGGCAGCTTACTTTGACAAACAATCTTCTCCACGGCTATTGTCTGCTCGCGTTTGACCTTGCGCGGCACGCGGGCGCGTGCGCGCGCGAGCGAGCGAGCGAGCGAGCGAGCAAGAGAGAGAGAGAGAGAGAAAAAAAAAAAGAGAGAAAGAGAGAAAGAGAAAGAGAGAGAGCGAGGAGAGAGGAGAGGGAGAGAGAGGAGGGAGAGGAGGAGAGAGAGAGAGAGAGGAGAGAGAGGAGAGAGAGAGAGAGGAGAGAGAGAGAGAGGAGAGAGAGAGGGGAGAGAGAGAGAGGGAGAGAGAGAGAGAAAGGAGGAGAGAGAGGAGGGAGAAGGGGAGAGGGGAGAAAGAGAGAGGAGAGAGAAAGAGAGAAAGAGAGAAAGAGAGGGCAATGGCAGCCTTCCGCGGCTTCTGCAGCCTTCCGCGGCGTTCCGCGGCATCGTTCCACGGCGTTCCGCAGCCTTCCGCAGCCTTCCGCAGCCCTCCGCAGCCTTCCACTGCCTTCCGCAGCCTTCCGCAGCCTTCCGCAGCAGTCCTGGCACTGGGTAGGCCATGCCGGGAGCGCTGCGGCTTACCTTCGGCGTTTTGCGGAGGTGGACAGCCAGGCCCAGCAGCTGGCTCAAGCAGCCGGTGGCCGCCTTCTTCTGACTCAGACTCGAGTCCAGCTGCTCCCGGGAAGAGGCGACGATACTTCGGAACGACCAGGCTTCGAACAA